CTGGAAAACTAAAGAAAGAATATGAGAATGTGTGTGTGTGTGTGTGTGTGTGTGTGTGTGTGTGTGTGCGTGCACGCGTGTGTGTGTGTAATGTCTTGCTCTAGAGAAAAGAACTAAAATCTATAGGCAGAAGTTAGAAGCAAATATGAAACCAATAATAAGGAGTGCTTTCCATTGACGCCAACTGTCTGACAATAGATTGGGTTCCTGCATGAAGCAGTAAACCAAGGCTTAATGTCACCCATCAAATATTTAGAAATTTATGTTTCAGATAGGAAGATGGACTCATATGATACTCTTTAAGATCCCTTTCAAACTTACGGTCCTAAGAAAAGCTGTCATCTGGGAGAAGATACATACATTTGAAATTATTTTAAAAAATTAGAGAGTCATACATTCTTCATTGAGAGAAGATCCATCACAGCTAAAGCCAAACTAGGGCATGATTAGCTAAAGACCTCCCTCTTAGTCCTGCTTTTGCTGCATTCCATAAGTTTTGGCATGTTGTATTTTCATTTTCATTTGTCTCAGGATATTTTTTACTCCCCTTCTCACCTGCCTTTTTTGAGATGAGGTCTCACTATGTTGCCCAGACTGAACTTGAATTCCTAAGCTCAAGCAATCTTTCCTCCTTGGCCTCCCAAGTAGCCGGGATTACAGGCATGCACCACACCTGCCTCTGGTTTCCCTTTTGATTTCTTCTTTGACCCATTGGTTGTTCAGAAGTGTGTTATTTAATTTCCACGTATTTGTGAATTTTAAAATTTTTATTCTGCTGATTTCTAGTTGCATTCCTTTGTGGTCAGAAAAGATACTTGGTATGATTTCAGTCATCCTAAAATTTTTAAGACTCATTTTGTTACCTAACACATGATCTATCCTAGAGAATCCTCCATGTGTGGTTGGAAAAAATGCGTATTTATATGTAACCATAAAAGACTCTGAATAGCCAAACCAATCTTGAGCAAGAAGAAAAAAGCTGGGGGCCTCACACTTCCTAATTTCAAAATATATTACAAAGCTACAGTAATTAAAACAGTATAGTACTGGCATAAAGACAGAAATACAGACCAATGAAACGAAATAGAAAGACCAGAAATAAACCTCCACATATATAGTCAACTGATCTTCAATAAGAGTGCCAACCATACAAAATGAGGAAAGGATAGTCTCTTCAATGAATAGTACTGTGAAAACTGGATATTCACATGCAAAAGAATGAAACTAGACCCTTATACTATATAGAAAATCAACTCAAAATGGATTAAAGACTTAAATGAATATAAGACTTTAAATTATAAAACTCCTAGGAAAAAATGTAGGGGAAAATCTTGATATTGGTCTTGGCAATGATTTCTTGAATATGGCATCAAAAGTACAGGCAACAAAAGCAAAAATAGACAAGTGGGACTGCATTAAACTAAAAAGCTTCTGCACAGCAAAGGAAACAATCAACAGAGTGAAAAAGCAACTATGGAATTAGAGAAAAAGAATTGCAAGCCATATATGTGATAAGAGCTTAATATCCAAAATATATAAGGAACTCCTACAACTCAGTTGAAAAAAAAAAAACAACAAATAACCTGATTTTAAAATGAGCAAAGGACTTGAATAGATATTTCTTCAAAAAAAGATACACAATTGGCCACTAGGTATATGAAAAAGTGCTCAACATCACTAATCACCAGGGAAATGCAAATCAAAACCAAAATGAGATAGCATCTCACACCTGTTAGTGTGGCTATTATACAAAAAAAAAAAGATAATGAGTGTTGGCAAGGATATAGAGAAATCAGAACTCTTGTATACTGTTAGTAGGAATGTAAATCAGTACAGCATTATGGAAATCAGTATGGAGGTTCCTCAAAAAATTATAAATAGAACTACCATATGATCCATCAATCCCACTTCTGGGTATTTATCCAAAGGAGTTGAAATCAGGATCTTGAAGAGATATCTGCACTCCCATGTTCATTACAGCATTTTTCACAATAACCAAGATAAAGAAACAACCTAAATGTCTATCAATAGAGGAATGGAAAGAAATACACACACACACACACACACACACACGCACACAACAGAATATTATTCAGCCTTAAAAAAGAAGGGAATCCTGCCATATGCAACAACATGGATGGACCTGAAAGACATTATGCTAAGTAAAATAAGCCAGTCACGGAAGGATAAATACTGCATGATCCCACTCATATGAGCTATCTAAAATAGTCAAACTAATAGAAACAGAATAGAATGGTGTTGCCTGGGGCTGGGGAGTAGGGAGAAATAGCAAGTTGTTCAATGGGTGTAAAGCTTCAGTAATTCAAGATGAACAAGTTCTAGAGATCTGAACAACATAGTGCCTATAGTTAATAATATTGTATTGTACACTAAAAAATTTAAGAGAGTAGATCTCAAGTGTTCTTACCAACCCCCGCCCAGTCCCCCACCCCTGGCACACACACGGGAGCAGGGGAGAGCTTTTGGAGGTGACGGATATAATTTATTACTTTGATACTGGTGTATGCATATGTCCAAACTCATCAAATTGTATACATTAAATATGTGCATCTCATTATATATTAAGTATACCTCAATAAAGCTATTTTAAAAATAAAAGTACTAAAGAAAGTTTTCTAAACTTCAGTCCTCTAGTTTATTTCCATAATAGTACCTTACATGTAGTGGCATCCACATGTTCATTAATGTGGCTGATTGATGTTTGTTTCATGAATAGCTGTACTTTATACTAATAAGAAGCCCTTGGAATGAGCACAGGTCAGTGATTTGGATTTTCTTGTGTACTTTCTGTATTTGTTAATATAAGAGGCAAAGTATTCATTCTAGCTTTGTAATCTATTTTTTCTAAGCAAAGTTGTCTAATAAAGATTTCATTAGTTTTTTATTTGAACTAAATCGAAATCCAGGCCTAAGCCAATTTTTTTTTTGGTTTTTTTTTGTGTTTTTTTTTTTAGATGGAGTCTCACTCTGTTGCCCAGGCTGGAGTGAAGTGGTGCAATCTCAGCTCACTGCAAGCTCCACCTCGTGGGTTCACGCCATTCTCCCACCTCAGCCTCCCCAGCAGCTGGGATTACAGGCGCCTGCCACCACACCCGGCTAATTTTGTTTTTGTATTTTTAGTAGAGACGGGGTTTCACCATGTTAGCCAGGATGGTCTCGATCTCCTGACCTTGTGATCCGCCCGCCTTGGCCTCCCAAAGTGCTAGGATTACAGGCATGAGCCACCATACCCAGCTAAGCCTATTATTATATTGACTTTCCTTCAGTCCTGAAATGATAAAACAGTAAAAATGCAGATATTGTTCACGATCAAGGAGACAAATGGTACATATCTTTTTTCAAGTTCACAGGCTGTCTGCTTCAGCAAAATAATACACAGCATTGTGAGCCATGAAGTCTTCTTTCCTCACATTTCAGATCACTTTTTCATTACCTCTTTGCTAACTCCTCTCCTCATTTCACATTTTTATTTATAATCCACTTTATTCTAAGTATGTTATATAATTAATTCTTAGTCTCTCACTGTCTTCTTTCTCGGTGTACACCTTTTTTACCTTTTGAAGTGTTATGTTAACATTTTTTAACCAACTCAATGCTAAATATCATAGACTCACAGCATCAGCTGGGAATGCTGCATCTGAAAGCTCAATCAAAAAGGAATTTGGTGACTAGAATGCTTTACCTCACTGATACTAAAACCAGAGATGGAAAAGAAAGATGGGGATTGTATGAAGCTCTCTTTCTTCTCCTTCTCCCTCTTATCTTTTATTCTTATTTCCTGCGGATGGTATGTGTGTGTGTGTCTCTGTGTGTGTGTGTGTGTGTATGTGTAGGGAAAGAGAAAGAGGAGGAGAAAGAGGGAGAGAGGAAAAGGAAAGCAGGAGTTGAATAATATTAATAATTGCTAAAATGTATACAGCTATCATTTAATCGGAAACAAAAGTACATAAGAGACATACAGGGTTGAAATAGGACAGGGATGAGTAGGTCTTTTGGATTAAGGAAACAGAGTTGAATCACAGAATCCAAGATTGCAGTATTCTAAATTAGTCCACATATATGTGTTTCTTCAGGGTTTCATTTACAGCCTACCAGTAACGCTGAGTAGCACACCCACTACATTTCCACATGAGTAAGGCTGATTTTTGGCACAGCCCCTTCTGTCTCTTCCCTCTTTCTGGTCTCCTGTTCTCTAACTTGTAGACACCCAGTATGCTCACACTGAACTCTGGCTTTCCAAAACCTTTTGGTACTCTCTGTCTTTCCTTTTTCTTCTTTCCAGCCCCAAATCAATTCTTATTCCAACTGTGCAAGGAGGTGTTTGGCCTGGTTATCTAATTTAAATACTCAAATGATCCATTTCCGTTCAACAGGTATACTTTAAAGGATGAGGTTGTTCACTGAGCGGGCCTCCATGAGTATTTTCTGGTTCTTGGGTAAGTGACTTTTCATCAGATTCCCAAAGGAACCCACCCCCAGAACAATTGAAATACAATCATCTGACTGGGTGCAGTGGCTCACGCCTGTAATCCCACCACTTTGGGAGGCCAAGACGGGCAGGTCACAAGGTCAGGAGATCGAGACCATCTTGGCCAACATGATGTAACCCCGTCTCTAGTAAAATACAAAAAATTAGCTGGGCGTGGTGATGCGTGCCTGTAATCCCAGCTACTTGGGAGGCTGAGGCAGGGGAATTGCTTGAACCTGGGAGGCAGAGCTTGCAGTGAGCTGAGATCATGCCACTGCACTCCAGCCTGCTGACAGAGCAAGACTCCACCTCAAAAAAAAGAAATCATCTAAGTGGCAAAATGCACATGGTTACTATTTTTGAACTGGTATACATATGTAGGTTCCTAGCCTAATTAGAATACCTCTCACCTAGTTAGAGGACCACTCATATCCCACACCTATCAATCCAGAAATCTGATCAGTCTTACAGCTTTCTCCCATTTCTCCCCTCACATTTGCAAACAACATACCTCATGGTAGAATAAGGTATTGCTTGGGGAGAGTGAAAAGCAGAAGCACAGTGAGCAGTGGAGGGCCCAAAAGCCATCTTGCACTAAAAAATAAATAAATAAATAAAATAAATATATATATAAATTTTAAAATAAAATACACAATATATTAATTTTCATTAAAAAATTAAAACTACAGAAAAGTTGCAAGAATGGTACAACAATCTACCATATACTCTTTTACCTATTTTATCAATTTAACATTTTGCCACATTTGCCTTATCTATCTGTGCTAAACTACTTGAGAGTAAGTTGCATATATCAGAAGTTTTTTGCTTTTTTTTTTGTTACAGTCTCACTCTGTCATCCAGACTGGAGCGCAGTGGTATGATCTCAGCTCACTGCAACCTCCGCCTCCCGGGTTCAAGCGATTCTCCCACCTCAGCCTCCAGAATAGCTAGGATTACAAGCGAGTGCCACCACACTCGGGTAATTTTTGTATTTTTAGTAGAGACAGGGTTTTGCCACGTTGGCCAGGCTGATCTTGAACTCCTGACCTCAAGTGATATGCCCACCTCGGCCTGCCAAAGTGTTGGGATTACAGGTGTGAGCCACTACGCCTGGCCAAAAATTTCATACCTAACTAGTTTAGTGTGTATCTCTTAACAAGGAATACTCTCTCTTATAATCACAGTACAATTATAAAATTCAAGAAGTTTAACACTGAAAGAGTATCTTATCTAATATGTAATCCATATTCAAATTTCAGTAGTTGTTTTGATATATTCCTTTATAGCATGTTTTTCCAAGATCACATGTTGCCTTTAGTGCCATGCCTTTCTAAATCCCTTAAATCTAGAATGGTTCCTCAGTCTTTCTTTGACTGTCATGACACTGATGTTTTTTAAGGATACAGGTCAGTTGTTGGGTAGAATGTTTCTTAGTTTGCATCTTTCTGATTGTTTCTAGATCATAATATGCATTTTTGACAGGAATACTATATAAGAGATACTGTAACCTCAGTGGCTCACATCAGGAGGCTCATCATGTCATTTTATCACATAATTGGTGACATTAACTTTGATCATTTGGTTAGGGTAATGTCTGTCAGATTTCTCCATTGTAGAGGTACCTCTGTTAACCCTTTATCATGAATAAGAAATCCAAAGACTGTGCAAATATCTTGTTCCCCAGCCAAATTTTACTCAGTGATTCAAACATCTATTCATAATTCTTGTCTGAATCCATTATTACTGTAATGGCTGCCAAATGATTTGCTAATTGTCATTTCTTCTAACATATATTAGTTGGCATTCCACTGTCATTTCACTTCTCCCCCCTTTATTTTTCTATTTAAAAGTTTAAAAGTAAGCATGCTCTACGATTCTTTTACAAAATTCAGTGTGTTAGAATCAATTTCTGTCATTATTTATTTATTCATTTATTGAGACAGTCTCGCTCTGTCACCCAGGCTGGAGGGCAGTGGCACGATCTTGGCTTACCGCAACTCTACTTCCCGGGTTCAAACAATTCTCCCTGCCTCAGCCTCCCGAGTAGCTGGGATTATAGGCGCCCACTACCATGCCCGGCTATTTTTGCATTTTTAGTAGAGATGGGGTTTCACCATGTTGGCCAGGCTAGTCTTAAACTCCTGACCTCAGGTGATCCGCCCACCTCGGCCTCCCAAAGTGCTGGGATTACAGGCGTGAGCCACTAAGCCCGGCCCATTATTTATTCTTGATACCCAAATTGTCTCAGATTTGGTAAGGCGGGAGCACCTTGGAGCGATCTTTCTTTTGACATATCTTCCTTGACCTAGCCAAGAAATCTCCTTGCTTTAAGGCACAGGATCTTTCAAGGGCATTTTATACTTTCCCTGTCTCTGCCCTCGAATGAGCCATCTCGCCACGGAGTCTGGCTCCTTTAGGTGGAGAATGGTATTTAGAAACCAAGATATGAAGGCACATGATACATTTCAGAATATTTAAGTGTCACTGTCCCTATTTCCTTGAGTCACATTTGGAAGCGTGGTGTGATTTATAATCCTACCTCTACCATTGCCTGTGTGACCTTGGCAATTCCCTTTATTCCTTGCGGTCTGCTTCGTCCTTTGGGGGAAAAAATTGGATTAGAGAAATATTTTTAACCGTTTTCAGGGTCACCAACACGTTTGGGAATCTGACAGAAGCTACGGGTCCATCTCTCCAGAGACATGCTCACATAAGCAAAAACTGGCCTGTGTTTTAGGGGGTTCCGGACTCCGAAGTTCACATGAGGCTCCAAATCTCTGGATTAAATGATCTCCAAGATCTCTTCAGCGCTGACATTGACATTCTGTGAGTCTATCAGCGACCGCACTGCTGTCAGAATGACTCCTCGGAGACTTCAAAACGTGGAGGGTTTTGTTATATATAGCAACGAGAAGAGAAAAAAACACAAAGAAAGGAGCCTGTGAGCAACGCATTGCTCAGCCACAGTTCTTTGCCGGTGCCAAATTTAGGGCGCGCTGTACTTGTAGGTGAGAGGTTTTGGCGGGAAGGACCCCGGGTGGGCGGAGAACGCCGGGGCGGGGAAGGAGATCGCAGGCCGCGTCCAGGTCTCTGCACCCCTACGCACGGTCCGCCAGGGCTCGCTCTTGCCCTTCGCCTGGAAGGCCGAGGACTATAGCGGGCCGAGCGGCGACCCCGCCCCTGGCAACGGCGAGGCGGAGGGGCGAGGGGAGGGCGTCTGAGCCCGGAAGGAGCGCGCCGACCAGGCCCGCGCCCCTCCCCGCGCGCCGTCCCCCACTCTCCAGCAGCCGACGTCGGCGGTGCTTCGGTCGCCATGGTGACCAATCCAGGCCCGGGCCCGCCCCCGCCCCCCTGCCCCGGCCCCCTGACGTCGGCGCACGTCAGCGGCGGCGCGCGCCTGGCTGGGCCCTGCGGAGCGGGAGGGAAGGAGCAAAGGAGCAAGCTGAGCGGCCGTCGCCCAAGGCAAGCCGCGCTGCCAGCGCTCCCGCTCGCCCGCCCGCGCTCCTGTCCGCCGTGTCTAGCAGCGGGGCCCAGCATGGTCATGGCGGATGGCCCGAGGCACTTGCAGCGCGGGCCGGTCCGGGTGGGGTTCTACGACATCGAGGGCACGCTGGGCAAGGGCAACTTCGCCGTGGTGAAGCTGGGGCGGCACCGGATCACCAAGACGGAGGTGCGGCCCGGGGCTCGGCGGGAGCGTCCGAGGCGAGGGTTCGGGAGACGAGCTGCTTACCGAGAGGGGCGGCCCCAGTGGTGGGACTGGGGAGACCCGAGAGGCCGCCTCACTGCCGGAGGCGAGCGGGCCTGGGACTGTAAGGACCCAGGAGGTGCAGGGGGTCGGTGAGCAGCGAAGGGATCGGGCCCGGGCGCCCGGAGCGGAGTGTCGTCCGACTGGAAACGCAACCAGCCGGGGCTTAGCTTTCCCCTACGCCACCCGCGGTGGCCACCCGGAATTTCGCCCAGAGCCCCCTACCCGAGCCGTGACCTGGTCTGTGGCCTCCGCTCCGGAGCCCAAGTTCCGCGTCTTCCCTGCTTTCGGCTGGGGGTGGGGTGGGAGGGGAAGTCTCGGTGTTCCCAGGCTGCGCCGTGAGAGACGTCGCTGGCCCGAGGAGGGGACTGCCTGCGCTTGGGCTCCGCGGATGGGGGATCGTGCGGCCCCCGTGACCCCGGTGCCCCTCCCCTGCCCGACGAGGAGGGGCCCGGTGGCTGGGAATGCCCCCACGGCCACTGACCATCTCTTCTTCCTTTTGGCCCACGGTGTCTCTGATTTGGTGTCTGGCTAGCTTGATCCCTTGCCTGGGGCATTTCCATTTAATGCTCCAGACAATAGAACTGGTTAAAATGGTCATCTCTGCACTTGCACAGTGGGTGGGTTGGACAGAAGTCTAGGGTTGTCCCTGTACCAGGTGTGTATTCTGGCTGTAATACGCATTCTTTAAACCATATTAGATTCTGCCTCTACTCATAAAGCCCTCAACTGCTTCCTGACGGTGAATCCTGCACCCTCTTCATTGCACATTCTAATGCACCGCACATATTCTCTCACAAGTCTCTGTTCTTACCTAACCCGCCCCCCTTCCTTCCACTGCCTCAAGCTGCTCTCCTCAGGGTCTCTATTTTAAGACGTGCAAATTAAATACCTTAGAAGAACGGTAGAAACAAAACCATTCTTTAGAATAAAACCTAGTGGTTTTGACGTACTCTACTCTGCCTTATTGTAGTTCCTCCTGGAGTTTCATCCTTTTCCTGTTTGTTTGCCCTCCAGTTTTGGTCCTATTCTGCTTTTTCCCTTGTTAGTACGAATGTACTAGAGTTTGAATGTAGAATAAAGTAGGACTTCTTTTCAGAATGACTTATGTAAGGCGAAGGGCACTGGCAAACCTGAGTGATTTTTGGAGTTGCAGTTGTACTTAGAAGTTTTGCTTAATCCCATTTCCAAAAGGAAGGGGTATATGTCATTTTGTCGTCTTTACTTTTTGCCTTCCCTTGCTGGTCCTGAAGCAGTCCAAATCTTTTAGAATCAGGACCAAGGTCAGATATTTTATTCTCACAGATTTACCAGTTAGCAATTTAAATTGTAATGATAATGGTAACTTGACTATAGTGATATTGCTAAATCTTTGCATAGTTTAATCTGATCCCAGCATTTTTTAAAATAAAGAAATTGGTTCCATTCCTCTGAAGAGCCATGGCCTAATGCCATGCCATTTCCCTTAAAGTTACATAAAAGAAGGCATTTTAAATGCATGTTTTATGAGTCCTTGCTTAATGACTTTCTAAAAACAAACACATTGTGAGTTATAGAGAGGTTCTACAAAACTTTTGAACTATAGTATATCGTGTGGTTGAATTCCAAATCCATCAGTTCATAATATTTTTTTCTCAGCTCTTACTGGGATTAGTAGCAAGATTTAATTAAGTCATCTATTATTTATCAGGTCAGATTTAGTTAATACAGTAAGAGCTGCTTAAGTGGAGTGACTGACACTTTCTCTTGAGGTTGACAATTCAAATGGTGTCCGTTTTATACTGATATATCTTAAAGAGCTAGGGGGCACTATGGAGTAATATCGTGGTTTGGCTATCAGAGTGAGATCAATGCATTCATTTGTAATTGAAGCAAGCACTGGTCAGATCGTGAAAGAGGATCGATCCTAAATCGTGTGTGTAGTATATATATGTAGAATTATTTACGTTAAATGCTAAATGTGTAGTCCACAGAACCCATTTCCCTGTGCTTTTCTAAAGAAGCTGTTATTAACATATAAAAAGAAATAGTGTGAATGTGAATTTGAGATGGGTGAGTGTGAGTATCTGTGGAGATTTGGTGGGTGTGATTGGAGATATTAAGGTAGAGAGGGATACGTGAAATGTCAAAGCAATTGTTGAACCGAAGCGTTCTCTAGATCTCTAGCTTGTAAAGTTGCTCTGAATTTAATTTTTTTTTTTTTTTTTTTTTTTTTTTTTTTGAGACAGTCTTGCTCTTGTTACCCAGGCTGGCTGGAGTGCAATGGTGCGATCTCGGCTCACTGCAACCTCTGCCTCCCGGGTTCAAGCAGTTCTCCTGCCTCAGCCTCCCAAGTAGCTGGGATTACAGGCGCTCACCGCCATGCCCGGCTAATTTGTGTCTTTTTAGTAGAGACGGGGTTTCACAGTGTTGGCCAGGCTGGTTTCAAACTCCTGACAAGTGATCCACGGCCTCGGCCTCCCAAAGTGCTGGGATTACAGGCAGGAGCCACCGTGCCTGGCCCAATTGTTTCTTAAAGTATTCCATGGGAGTAACAATTCCATTGTTAATGAAGTTTTTTTACAGCAGTTATTTATCCTTATTCGAATTCACTGGAGAAATGTTTGTGTGTTTTTGATAAATACAACTACCTTAAAAACTTTAAGATGTTTAGTAAAAACTTTTGTTTTAAATTGAGTTTTCATTGCAGAATATACTACGGTAGTTATAGTGGAACAATGAATATGGTATAAAAATAATATCAGCAAAATATCCCAATTATTGACGATAAAAGTTTCTTCATATACTATGCTTTAACATAGATACAAGTTTGTGTGTTTTAAAACTTAGAGGTTTTTTTTCCCAAGTTTGACCCTGAGGCAAATTTTAGGACTTAATGAGCTATGTAATGAGCAATTGGACCCTTTTATTTTTAACTGGTTCTTCTCTGTTTCTTGTTCTGTATCACTCACAAATGATGTATTTCTACAGAACTTGGGAGATTCAAGTCTGTTTCCCTTTTAGGAAAAAAAATAGTAGACAAAAGAGATCTTCATTTTGGTCGAATCTATCAAACAGTTTAACATTGTTTATGAAATATAATTACATCATCATCTGAAGTGGTATTGTGTTTGATCTCTATGTGAATTTTGCACCCAAAGGGGAAGACAGGTGGGGGTAGAATCCAGCTTCCTAATACACTTTGTAAAGGCTTTGTAGTATTCGTTTGTGGTTTATGAATTAGAGATGCTAATTTTATAAAATTAGCATAATGGGAAAAGAATAATAGCATGTAAGCTGTTAAACTTTGAAGCAGTAGTGGTTGCTTGTTTGCTGTTCACTGAGTATCCTTGAGTAGTTTATTTTATCAATACTGTACAGTACTAGGAAATAACTTTCCTTCTAGTTAATGGTGTAGCTAGTTTTTTGTCTCTTAAGTAAAATTCTAGAAAAGCCAATTGTATCCTTAAATGTTTTTGTATTCTGTTTAAGAAATAGTTTCTTTCTTGTTGCTCCCAGGACAAAAGAAAGAAAAATAAAGAAGTAGTGTCTTACTGTGATATAAAAAATAAAGAAGAGTATAGTGAACAAAAAAGTATACATATAATTCCTCCACCAATGGGAATAACCCATTCTTAACATTATGGCACTAGTCTTTTTATTTAAATGCATTTTTTCCATAGATGAGAGCACAGGGTACATGTGTATAAATTATGTTCTTTTTTCTACTTAATATTATAACCTAGGCATTTTGCTTAATATATATAACTTTATAAAAACATTTTTGTTAGCTGCATGGTGTTCTACCTTGTGGATGAATATCATTTTACCTAACAATTCCCTTATTAATGAATATTATGTAATTTTCAGTTTTTGTTTATAGTAAATAATTTGCAGTGAATATTTTTGTGTCTATAACTGAGTGTGCATTTTACATTTTTTTTAGGGAGGAGGCATTGCTGGTAAAGTCCTAAAAGGAAATTTCCTAAGTAACAAGGTATTATTTTTACATTAAAGAGTAGTGTATTTTTATTACCAAATCTGTCATGTTTATTATTGAAAAATTTAAAAGTATAAATAGGAGGCCAGGCTAGATGGCTGACACCTGTAATCCCAGCACAGTGGGAGTCCAACGCAGATGGGTTGCTTGAGGCCAGGAGTTCGAGACCAGCCTGGTCAATATAGCAAGACTCTGTCTCATTAAAAAAAACGAAAACAAAAACACTATAAATAAATGAAAAGAATTCCCCACAAAATCACAACCCTGGAGATAACCATAACTTGTTATTTTCAGACCTTTTCTATAATAGATAACTTGAGTTTTCAACACCATATGTCTCATATTGCTTCGCTAAAGAGCGTGTAAATGTATAGTCTATGGAATCATAAAGATATTTCAAAGAGGTTCTAAAAATGACCTTATTAAAATGGCATGTGTGTGTCAGGCTGCTTACTTACCCTTAAGAGAATTTGGAATGCAAAACTGATAACAAGGACATTCTGAAAACTGTATTTGTTTACTAAAAAGCCTTCCATGTGCATTTTGGGGATTTTATAGTTAGGTCTAATTCTTTACTACTTTAAAATATAAGATTTTTAAAAGGTTTTCAAAATTGTTAAGGTATTAAAATTGCATTTTTATAGCAAAGTTAGAAACAAGAAAAAGGCATATTACACCCTGATTATGATGTTTCTTGAAGAGAACTCATTTTAAAAATACATTTGAATTTTCTATTTTGCTTTAAAATTTTAAGACTCCTTTCAGTAGTCTTGGTATTAATCTTGTACTGTGAAATATTCCAAAATTTCAAGAACTGTACTATGTGCAACAGAAGGACTTGTTACCAAATGACTCAATCACTAATATTTGTATCTAGTCTTATGTATGATCTTTAATTATGTATTGAAATAAAAATTATATGTGTCTTGGAATATATATGCTTTCATAGAATTTTTCTCTAGTCTTTTTGCACCCCGGACAAATAGGATTTGTCAAATTATTCTGCTAACTGTTGTTCAAAATGATCTGCTCTTTTTTGGGAGTGGGAACAAACATGCAAAATAAGAGTTGTGTAAATGTTTATATTCTGTAGAAATTTTAACTTTAACAGAGTTTAATGTGTTCTGATTTTAAACCCTCTGGGAAATACTATCTCAGTACCAGTCAATTAAGAAAACAATTATTTGGAAATAACTGAAACTAGCCTATCTTCTTGGATTCACATGATGACATTTGATTTATGACCCACTGCTGATAGCAGATTCATTTCCTTGGAGGCAAATGCATTCCAGAATTCATTAGAATATCATTCTTTCCACTTTCGTGTACCTAGTACCTCTTCTACCTTCCACCTCCATCTTTTCAAAATAAATTATATAAAACTTCCTTTATTCAGAACATTGGTGTAGAATACTTTCCCATCCTTCACAGAGAAATAGCCTATATATCCATTTTGAGATATTAGAAGATCAAAAGATAAACTTGGAAATTCCATCAGAAACTTCATTTAAAATTTTTTTAAATACTTTAAACAGATTAAGAGATGAATATTGGATGAATTAAACTGAGAAACAATACTAAAATTTATTTTAAGTTCTCCTTGAAAGTAAACATAGTATTTATATGGTTTCCCCCAGTTATAGAAGTCAATGCATCTTCATTGTAAACATTGTTGAAAAGCCCAAAGAAGAAAATTAACATCCTTACTTCTACTCTCCAGACCCAGAGATAATGCCTGTTAATATTTGGTTCATCTTCTTCTAGTTATTCACATATATTTTATATGTATGTAATAAAATTGATGTCATGTACACATATAATCTGTGTTTTTTACTTAACGTGTTGTTAACATTTCCCTAAGTTTGAAAACTATGTAAAGCATGGTTAAATAGTATTTGTGTATTTTTGACTATCCATATTTTATTTAATCAATTTCCTGTTACTGAACATTTAGTCTATTTCTCTCTTGCTGTCTCTCTTTCTAAAATAATTTTTCAGAAAGCATCCCTCTACATACATCTTTGTGCATGTATCTGATTATTTCCTCAGTGTAATTGCATAGCAATGGAATTCTTGGGTCAAGGAGTATGTACATTACCTATCTTATGATGTAGGATGCCAAATTACCCTCCAGAAAAGGAGTGCCCGTTAATTTTCACCGGCAAGAACTCATATTTTGCAGGAACATTATTTTCTAAATCTCTGCCAGCTTGATAGCAGAAAGTAATATTCTTTGCTTCTTTTAAATTTTTTCTATTTTTATTTTGTAATTGACAAATAAATGTTTATATTTTCTGTTACTTCAATTGGCATTTCTTTGATTACTTTGTACAGTTTTATATGATGATTGCATTCCTTTTATGAATTTTTTTTGTCCTTTGACCCATTTAATTGCATTGTCTTTTTTGTTGATTTGTTTAAATACTTTTTAAGATAGGGGATTATTTTTAATCACTTCTTTTATCATCTTAAAAATTCTCAGTTTAATTTTTGCAGGTATATAACTATCAGACCATTTACCTTTCTCCCAATCTGTTTTTCTTACCCACTATTGCAAAAGTCAAATCAATTTTTTTGGGGGGGTGGGGACAGGGTCTCATTCTGTCGCCCAGGCTGGAGTACAGTGGCAAGATTACAGCTCACTGCAGCCTCCACGTCCCAGGCACAAGTGATCCTCCCATGCTCAAGTGATCCTCCCACCTCAGCCTTCCAAGTAGCTGGGACTGTGGGTGCACACCCCCACGCCTGGCTAATTTTTAAATTTTTTTGTAAAGACAAGGTTTTGTCATGTTGCCCAAGCTGGTCTTGAACTCCTTGGCTCAAACAGCCCTCCCACCTTGGCCTCCCAAAGTGCTGGGATTACAGACATAAGCCACCATACCCAGCCATCAAATTAAATCCTAATGAGAATGTATTATTTGAATAATTTTAAAAGCCAAATTTACATTGGAAAAAAAGTCTGCTTTTTATTCATTCTGAGAGGGTAGCTAGATAATTCTCTGTTTTACTACTCACTTTTACTGCTTTCAGAAATTCTTTCATTATAGACCACTCAATCATACTTGCTTTTCAATCAGATGATAGGCTAGTAGGTTGTAATTCTACCAATGATTTGTTATATAAGCTGAAAGGTGTATTTATTTTTTAATTTCAGAGATCTAATGTATGGTATGATAGAGCTAATGCTACTTGGTACTTCAGAAGGACAGTGTAGAATTAGTATATTAGTAATAGGACTGGAGTAAATATCTAAGACAAGAAACACATGTTAATCCCTTCTTATTTGTTATTAGAAGAATAGCTCTTATTGTGTAACTTCTTTATAAAATCTCCAGAAGCTACTTTTTTTGGCTTTCATCTGTGGATTTATAGCATCAAAAAGCAACTTTTGTATGTGTGGTTTCTTTAAATGAGATTAATATTTCTTTTATGAGAAGTTGTTTTTCTAAAATCAAAAAGACAGGATAGGCCAGGCATGGTAGCTCACGCCTGTAATCCCAGCACTTTGGGGGGCCAAGGCAGGTGGATCGCTTGAGACCAGCGTGGCCAACATGGTGAAACCCCATCTCTACTAAAAATACAAAAATTATCCTGGCATGGTGGTGCACGCCTGTAATCCCAGCTACTCGGGAGGCTGAGGCAGGAGAATCACTTGAACCTGGGAGGCAGAGGTTGCACTGAACTGAGATCGCACCACTGCACTCCAGCAGTGACAGAGAGAGACTCTGTCTAAAAAAAAAGAAAAATACCAAAAACAGGGATAACAGTTTGAAAAATGAAAAAATTCCATTTATTCATCAGTTTAACATTTTTTACATGTCTGCTGTTACATTTAATTCCTTGTCCTCCTATATAAAATTTGTATTTGACATAGTTGTTACTTTCATATGTATTTTTAAAAATTTCACAGAAACATTTCTGTATATGTCTTAATATTTAAATCACAAAATAATATAGCCATTTTCTAAAGAATTTTGAAAATGAGAAAATGAAAACTAATATTTCTCAGATGGAGAATTAGTATATGTGATAAATAACTATGTCATTGTTCTGGGTTTTTTCTTATTAGAAAAATAATACATGTTCACTGAAGAAAAATTGCACAGAAGAGTACAAAGCAGTTTATCGCCATCTTTTTCTACTCATATTTTATGCTGAGACTGCACTGATATCTCAGTTTTCTAATACTCTATTGATTATATGTACACATAAGGCTGGGTGAGGTGGCTCACACCAGTAATCCCACACTTTTGGGAGGCCAAGGCAGGAGGATTACTTGAGCCTAGGAATTTAAGACCAGTCTGGGCAACATGGTGAAACCCACTCTTTCTTGACCAAATGTGTATATTTATATATATGTATACACACACACGCACACACACACACACAAATTAGCACAGTGTGGTGGTGCACACCTGTAGTCCCAGCTTTTTGGGAGGCTGAGGTGGCAGGATCATTTGAGCCTGGGAGGCAGAGGTTGCAGTGAGCTGAGATCACACCACTGCATTCCAGCCCAGGCAACAGAGTGAGACCCTGTCTCAAAAAAAAAAAAAAAAAAAAAGTGAACATAAATCTTTGTCATCATTTCAGATTATTTCCCTCAAATAATTTCTCAGAAGAAGAGTCCTTAAGCTACATGGAATGGATGATTTTTAAGGTTAATAATAAAGACTACTAAATTCCTCCCCAGAAAAATTATAATCTATTTTATATTCCTACTAACAATATCTAAAACAAACATCTCATTGAACCTTAGCTGACCAGGTTATTTATTTTTTAATCTTTATAAACATAATAAGTAAAAATGGTATTTTGTTTTTAATTCATATTTCCCTGAGTATTTTGAAGTTGAATATTCAGTGTTGCTACTTTGTGTGGGATTTAGTTTGATAATAATCATTCTAGTTTGTCCTAATGTTCTTCAGTTTATAGAGGAGACCTTTCTTCAGTCCTTTAGTAGAAGGAATATTCATTTTTCTGTCATATAAATTTATTGAAGGTTTTTTAAAGATGATGTATATGTAATAATTAGAGAGTTGAATAGATGAACACCACCAAAAAAGGGGATCTTTCCATTCATAGAGTTCCTTTCTTGACTTACTTTCTTGTTACCATGCAGATTTTGTCCCTTATACTATGTTCAGAACTAAATAAGAGAAGGGATATAGAGAGGAAGTTCCCACAAATCTAAGTTCATTCTAATCCTTAAAAGGAACTATTGGGACACAACCCTTTTGCAAATTAAGGACTTTCAGTGCACCTTTGGGGAAGTCCCCAGATACAAATTTCTTGTTGATAAAATGTGTTCATCTTCTTCTTACAGACCTATTAAATTCCTTGAGGGTAGGAATGAAACCCCATTCATTTTTATATCCCAGGCATAATTCCTGGCACACAACAGACGCTGTGTAATGTATTACTACTAGACCCTTTGAAATAGTGGAAAGATTAAAGTTGGAGTTAGAAGGCCTAGGGTTTTTCTTCCTTAATTCATTAGAGCTTTAAGACCTTTGTTGATTATGTGACATTATTTGAACCTCAGTTTCATCAACTCATGAGTATACCTCTTGTTTCATTTACTTCACAGAATTGGGAAATAACTGAGATAGAATATGCTACAAGTATCTTAAAAAGTGCTATGCAGTTGTGAAAGTCATCACCAGTGTTAGTATTATACATATTTCTGGGAAGTACTTGATAGAGAGCTCCATTGTTAAGAAATTACTTTGATGAGTTTGGCAGACTGCTAGGTGATCTCTGAAAACTCTACTGTTTCCTCTTCTTTCTGGGCCTACAGCTGGACTGTTTCTATGCTGCCCTTGCATTTAGGTGTGGTCATATGCCGAGTTCTAACTAATAGAATGAACAGAAATAATAGGCACCACTTCCAGGCCCAGCCCATAAAATCACCTGTGAGGATCCCTCAAAGTTCTTTTTTTTCCTTCTGTCTAGCTGGAATGGAGACCACCTTCAGGTTAACCTTGGAAACCACACATTAAAGATATTAAAGCCTCTTTGAATCTCAAATGCCTGCCAACTTCATTCGTCTAGTTCTGCTATATGAGCAATAAATAAACTTCTGTTGAGTTTGAATCATATGTTTTGGGTTGTATTTGGTAAAGCAATTAGACTTCCCGTGTTACAAGGAACATGTTAACTCATGCTCTGCTTTTTCTTTAGAGAAGCATAATCCTCTTATAATAGCTCTAATAGCCTTAGAAACAAGGGATAGCAATGGGATAAGTGTATATATATATATTTATGATCATAGATGGATAAAGTCTGTGACCCAAGATAAAATTGAAGTGAGAATTATATCATTTGAGTAATTTTGTTAAGAAAAGTTAAATGAGATTTATAATTTTTTATTGAAGTTTAATTAGATAACATTTTTAACTTTTTAATATATGTCATATATTTTTCACTTTTTCATTGTTGAGGCCAAGGTTCCAAAAGGGTATAAAAAAGGAGATTTCTCTGGGTAATACATTGCTTTAATTGATATTTAGTATCTAAACTTTTTCATCCCATTAAATATGATACTTAAGATACTTACAGTATAAAATTGTCTCATGGTAGGAATCATGCTGAGGTTTTAAAAACCATAATCCCTTCTCTCCATCTTTTTCTATTAGATGATTGTGACCCATCTCATTATAAAAGCTTTTTGTTGGGGGCAGGGGGTGCTGATATCTAGACTCACTCCTGAAATTGTAGGATAAGACATTTTCTTCGAAATATGCATGTCTGTGAAACTTGATGTGATCTTCCTAAGGAATATTGAGGATATTCAGTTATACACTTATCTTTTTATCTGGCAACTGTTACCCAAAGTTACCCAAAATATAATGGATTGTATCATACTCTTCATTGAGGAGAGTTTCTTTAAATGTATTTAGGTTTGAGGTGGTCCAATAATATTTCTAATAGCAAGTATATAATATTAATCATTCTACTTGCCTAGCAAAGTTTTACTATCTAGAATATTTTCATTATGGTAATAATTAAAACACCACCAAACATAATGAAAACAGCTGTCACAGAACCTATGTACTTTACTCCCTAGAGAAGAAGCTTTCATTCTTAGGCAATAAATTTAATTTTATACATTATGTTTAGTAATCGGATTTCCCCTGGGAAGCTTGGAGCGTTCTACAATTAATTTAAATCAGGAAACAACCTGTGGACAGCAAGTTAGAAGTAGAGAAAGGTGAGAAATAAAACTTACAGTAGAGCTTTAGGACATAACAGCAAAGGATAGAGCAGCCACAAAGAAAGAAGAAAAAAACTGACTCTCCCCCGTAATTTTTTTTTTTTTCCGAGATGGAGTCTCACTTTGTCACCCAGACTGGAGTGCAATGGCACCATCTTGGCTCACTGCAATCTCCACCTCCTGGGTTCAAGTGATTTCCTGCCTCAGCTTCCCAGGTTGCTGGGATTACAGGCGCCCGCCACCAGGCCTGGCTAATTTTTATGTTTTTAGTAGAGACAGGGTTTTACCATGTTGGCCAGGCTGGTCTGAAACTCCTGACCTCAAATGATCAGCCTGCCTCAGCCTCCCAAGTGCTGGGATTATAGACATGAACCATAGCGCCCAGCCTGATTCCCCCAAAATTTAACTACTAATAGCGTACTGTTGACTGGAAGCCTTACCTATAACAGAAACAGTCCATTAACACATATTTTGTATGTTGCATGTGTTATATACTTTATTCTTACAATAAAGTAAACTAGGGAAAAGAAAATGTTAAGAAAATCACAAGGAAAATACATTTATTACTCATTAAGTGAAGTGGATCATCATAAAGGTCTCCATCCTCATTATCTTCACGTTGAGTAGGCTGAGGAGGAGGAGGACGAAGAGAAGTTAGTGGTGGAAGAAAATTTGTGTATCAGTGAACCCACACAGTTTAAACCCATGTTGTTCAGAGTTAACTAATTGTATGAACAGGAGACTGCGGGAATTATGTGAAATGGCAAGCTGAATCCTATTTTATTGGATACGTTTTGGAAGCATTGAGCTATCATAGCATGTGCAATTGCTGATATTAAAAGTTATCCTCGGCTGGGCACAGTGGCTCATGCCTGAAATCCCAACACTTTTAAGGTGGGCAGATCACCTGAAGTGAGGAGTTCGAGACCAACCTGGCCAAACATGGTGAAACCCCATCTCTACTAAAAATATAAAAATTAGCCAGGCATGGTGGCACACACCTGTAATCCCAGCTACTCGGGAGGTTGAGGCAGGAGAATCACTTGAACCCAGGAGGCAGAGGTTGCAGTTAGCCAAGATCATGCCACTGCACTCTAGCCTGGGCCACAGAACGAAACTCCGTATCAAAAAATAAATAAATAAATAAAAGTTTTCCTGAGGCCAGGCATGGTGGCTCACGCCTGTAATCCCAGCACTTTGGGAGGCCGAGAAGGGAGGATTGCTTGAGGCCAGGAGTTCAAGACCAGCCTGGTCAACATACAGATGGTCAACCAACCATCTGTATTAAAAAAAAGAAGAAGCAGCAGGAAAGTTACCCCAAAACAATAACATAAGGCTAAATTATGTTTAGAACACCCTTTGATATAATTTGAAGTACATTTTAGAGTTTTTTCAAAACTTATAATTAAATTTGGATGATTCTCAATTATCTGAAAAATTTATTTAAATCAGAATGCTTTATTTTCCAACCAAATATCTACTAATTTTAAAAAATTAGTTCTTTTTAATTGCGTGAAAAAAATGTGTGTAATCACCGGGTGTGGTGGCTCACGCCTGTAATCCCAGCACTTTGGGAGGCTGAGGCGGGTGGATCACGAGGTCAGGAGATTGAGACCACTCTGGCTAACACGATGAAACCCCATCTCTACTGAAAATACAAAAATTAGCCGGGCATGGTGGTGGTCGCCTGTAGTCCCAGCTACTTGGGAGGCTGAGGCAGGAGAATGGCGTGAACCTGGGAGGCAGAGTTTGCAGTGAGCTGAGATCGTGCCACTGCACTCCAGCCTGGGTGACAAAGCGAGACTCCGTCTCAAAAAAAAAAAAAAAAAAAAAAATGTGTGTAATCGTTGATTTCTGCCTACCTAGTCATTCACCTTCAAATGAAATCCCTTCAAATTATTAACCTTGGAATTGTCTGGGCTCCTCTCTAGTTATAACAGAATGAGGTCACAGTTTCTGAAATAAAATTCCTTTTACAAAGTTAAATTTTAGTGCAGTTACTAACATTTTAGTTTTTACCCTTCGAATTTTAAAAGAAAATCCGATTGGTATTTTTTCATGGAATGAGTTTTAATATTTTATATTTAGCTTTTTGTCTGTATTCTTTGAAACTGATCACTTGCTTTTCCAGGAAAATGGTATTTCAGTGCAACAGAAACTGTCTTCTGAACTGTCTTCTACTTTGCTGATCATTTGTTTATAGTTACTTTACAGTGCGATGGTAACTAGTTGATATAGCTACTAATTTTTTTATTTTTTTAGTTTGTAGAGGAGTAAAAAGACATTACCATTGTACTGAAAGAGAAACATGTTTTCGAGTTATTCTTCATAGCACACTAAAGACACAGCCAAACAACATCTACTGCCTTACACATGGTGTTAGTTTAAGAAATATTTGTTGAATGAATGAACGTTGAATTTAAACTAGCTGTCATCAGTGTCACGAACCTACAGGTGAAGTCTCATGTCATTTATTGACAGGATTCTTAACTAGAAAATATTAACTATTGTATACTAATTGTATTTATTTGTGTTCTGGGATGCAGGTGGCAATAAAAATAATCGATAAGTCTCAGCTGGATGCAGTGAACCTTGAGAAAATCTACCGAGAAGTACAAATAATGAAAATGTTAGACCACCCTCACATAATCAAACTTTATCAGGTATGACTCAGCCTGACACTATCTCCATTCATTCGACAAAATAGTTCTGTACTTCGTATCATGATTTTTCTTCTTATATTTGTGTTTCTAATCAATGAAAGAAAATAAATGTATGCTTTTCGTAACTAAGTACATCCATTTTTTTATATTGTCTTTAAACTTAAAAATCAGAAATCTTAAGTCATCTCTTAGACTATAGGTTGTTTTAAAAGTTTGCAGTGTGGGCTCACACTTGTAATCCCAGTAGTTTGGGAGGCTGAGCAGGGAAGATTACTTGAGACCAGCCTGGGCAACATGGTAAAACCCCATCTCTACCAAAAAATATATATATACAAATATTAGCCTGGTGTGGTGGTGCACACCTGTAGTCCCAGCTACTTGGGAGGTTGAGGTGGGAGGATTGCTTGAGGTTGTAGTGAGCTATATCATACCACTACACTTTAGCCTGGGTGACAAAGTGAGACACTGGCTCTTAAGAAAAAAAAAAAGAAGTAGTAGTTTGCAGTTGTATGATACCCTGCTTTTTAACTGCAGGGTTTTGGTGCTACTGCCTAATGAGGATATGGCAGTTTTGCTCATTTAAAAAGGATACTGTATGTTTTATGAAAATACAACCACTAAATTAGTATATTATTCAGTGGCATACTGTGTAATACATAGGACTATATTTAGTTATTTGGCTTATTTTAGTAGATAAAATAAATTTGCTTTTTTTAAAAAAAACGACTTTGTTATAATACTTTTTGTAAAATAAATTGCACCCATTTTATGTAAAATAAACCCCACCCATGGGGTGTTTTGTCACCATTTCTCGTTGTTGTTTTTTATAGCTTTTGGGGGTACAGGTGCAGTTTCGTTACCTGGCTGTATTGTATAGTGGTGAAGTCTGGGCTTTTAGTGCACCCACCAACCAGCCATGGTTTTTAAAAGGAGCATTTTTCTCAGATTTTTAAAGAGTAATTCATGTTTAACAAGGATAATATAGTACAGAATATTGAAAAAAAATTATTTCTTAACATGTAGAATTTTTCTGTTGAAAAGCTCTTTTTAAACTGAAATGTTCCAGTATCCTGGCCCGTTACTTTGATCTCCAGAGTGTGATGTGTACGCCCATGGTATGCTGGACTCACCCTGTACCGGCTCGTTGAGAGCTGATTGTTAAACTTTCAGAAACTTTGCAAGCCAATTAACATGATGTTAGTAGCTCAAAATCTGCATTGGTGGGAAGATTTACATCACAGAAATTGGCTTACAAATCAGGGCCTTTTTATTTTTTGTCAGAAAGCTGGCTTACTGGCACACCAGTATGTGCATTCAAATAGATTAGCACAAATGTCCTTGGGAGTGTAAGAAGAAAATGCCAGAACCTCTAGTTATGTTTATTTTTTGTATTTGTTTTGTCGTGTATATTTTATAACGTACATAATATTTATACAGTGGCACATGTATGTAATATGTGTGTGTGTATATATATATACACGTCACCATATGTGTCATGTGAGAGTATATATATAATATATATATACATATATACATATATATTTGGCAACTTTATTTTTAATGGATTCCCATAGGAATCATGTTTATTGTATTCTATTTTTTTTTAGAGAGGGGGTCTCACAGTTGTTGCCCAGACTGGCCTTGAACTGCTGGGCTCAAAGGATCCTCCCGCTTCAGCTAGGACTACAAGTGCATGACAGTGTGTTTGGCTCTAAACCAGTGGTCCCCAACTTTTTTGGCACCAGGGACCAGTTTCGTGGAAGACAGTTTTTCTACCTCAGCATTAGATTCTCATAAGGAGTGTGAATCCTTGATCCCTCACATGCACAGTTCACAATAGGGTTCCCACTGCTATGAAAATCTAATGCCACTGCTGATCTGATGGGAGGCGGAGCTCAGATGGTAATGCTAGCAATGGGGAGCCGCTGTAAATACAGATGAAGCTTCACTGTGTGGCCCGTTTCCTAACAGGCCATGGACTGTACCAGTCTGTGGCCCGGGGGTTAGGAACCCCTGCTGTAAACAACTTTTATTGATAGAGATTTTCAGTTTAAAAAATGTGAAGACCATTGGCTTATGATATGCCTCCTAAGAATGAGAGACTATGATGTGCCACTCAAAGCATTTCCTAAAAATTCTAAAACTACAGAGGTCTCTTAGGGCAAATTTATATGAGATTAGCCCAGTGCAGTGACATGTAGCCCCAGCTATTGGGGAGGCTGAAGCAGGAGAATCTCTTGAGCCGAGGAGTTCCAAGCTGGAGTACACCACAATTGCACCTGTGAATAGCCACTGTCCTTCAGCCCAGATAACACAGAGATGCCATCTCTAGAAATAAATAAATAAATAAATAAATAAATAAATAAATAAATAATTCAGATTACTTCTCCCTTTAAACTTAAAAAAATTATTAATTTTTTTTTTTTTTAAAGAAAACGTCTTGCTCTGTCACCCAGCGTGGGATGCAGTGACACAATCATAGCTCACTGCAGCTTCGAACTTGTGGACTCAAGTGATCTTCCTGCCTCAGCCCCTCCCCAAGTAGCTGGGGCTACAGGCACATGCCACTATACCTGGCTAATTTTTAAATATTTTTTGCAGAGACAGGATCTCACTCTGTTGCCCAGGCTGTTCTCAAATTCCTGGGCTCAGATGAGCCACATTGACCTCCCAAAGTGCTGGGATTACAAGAATGAGCCACCCGTGCCTAGCCATTTTTTTTTAAATTCCTAAAGAAGATATTTCTAAGAAACTAATTATATTCTTCAAAGTCTCTGATTAACCATAAACTAAACTGAGGATAAAATTAACATAATTCGTATAATGATACTATCTATTTGAGGTGAATCATTGGTTACAGTTGATTTACGGATTTATTTAGGCCCAAATTGTAGGTAGCTCTTAGTTTTCTGGCCTCGTGGAGAATAGTCTTAAACCTACATCTTAAAACAAAATTAATTTTCTAGCCGGGCGTGGTGGCTCAAGCCTGTAATCCCAGCACTTTGGGAGGCCGAGACGGGCGGATCACGAGGTCAGGAGATCGAGACCATCCTGGCTAATACGGTGAAACCCCATCTCTACTAAAAAATACAAAAAAAAAAAAGAAAACTAGCCGGGCGAGGTGGCGGGCGCCTGTAGTCCCAGCTACTCGGGAGACTGAGGCAGGAGAATGGCGTAAACCCGGGAGGCGGAGCTTGCAGTGAGCTGAGATCCGGCCACTGCACTCCAGCCTGGAAAACAGAGCGAGACTCCATCTCAAAAAAAAAAAAAAAAAAAATTAATTTTCTTCCTTTCAGTAGATAGCAGTTAGAGTATTACAGAGAAACACTCTAAAAATTTTTCATCTTGAATCTAAACACTCATTTTCTTTTTATTCTATTTTTATTTATTTTTATACAGATATTTTTTCAGACATAGTTTTCCTCCGTCGCCCAGGTTCAAGCAGCTCTCCCACTTCAGCGTCCTAAGTAGCTGGGATCACAGGTGCACACCACCACATCTGGCTAATTTTTGTATTTTTTAGTAGAGATGGGGTTTTGCCATGTTGGCCAGGCTGATGTCAAACTCCTGACCTCAAGTGATCTGCCCACCTTGACCTCCTAAAGTGCTGGGATTAGAGGCGTGAGCCACCATGCCCAGCCTCATTTTTTTTTTAAATAGACATCTACTTAGCGTAGTTTGAAAAATCAGATTTATGATGATGATGACATACTTCGTTCTGAATCTAGAAGGATGAATTTAAATAAAAGTATTTCACAGTAGAGCTATGAATATGAAACTTTTGAACAATTAGAGTACTTTGTAACAATATTAAAGTATAGTACGAGGAATATCACATTGTGCCAGATTAGCTAGGCTACAGACCAGGTAAATTAAACTACTCTATTTTTTTATTCGTTTAATCAGAATCTACCATGAAAACATAGGACTAGAAATGTCAGTGAGATGTTGAAAAGTTGATCTTCAAAACTTACATTATCTATATTGGTACTTCTCAAACTTTAATGTACATAAAAATCACTCGGCAGTTTTGTTAAAATGTAAATTCCAGTTCAGTATGTCTGGGACGGGGCTTGGAATTCTGCATTTCTTACAGGTGGTTGAATAGTGCTACTACTGCTGGTCCAAGGACCACACTTAGAAGAGCAAGAATCTCAATTTTTCACAGACAAATTAATCAGAAGGACATTGTCAGGCTTATAAACTCAGCCATCTTCTGAATTGTTCTTAACTGTGATTCTTTTACTAGTAGTTTCGATTTAGGTAACTCCATAGAATATTGTGGAAAATTCTAGTACATTTCTGTCAGACTAATATGAATTATTTATCAATAGGTAATGGAGACCAAAAGTATGTTGTACCTTGTGACAGAATATGCCAAAAATGGAGAAATATTTGGTAAGCTTTTTCCTTTAAATTTTCTGTTAATTTGAAAAATTCACTAATCTGCATGAATGGAGTATTTTCTATTAAGTTTCTGCTTATTTAAGTGTTGTTAATATAAGTGAAAAAAATTTAAGTGTTAGAAAATATTCAGTAACCTAAAATATGAAATATAACTTATTTCCTTGTATTTATTATATTAAAGGTACTATGTCTGTCATCTCTGTTAGAGATAGAGAGGAACTTTTAGTCATACTGCAAAGGATATTTTCTTTCTTTTTATCTTCTTTTTTACCTTTCTTTTGTATGGAAAGATTAGTCAGCAAATATTTATTAAGCTTCTACTATGTCCCAGGCATTGTGCTAGGTATTGGGGATACTGTAGTGACCTAAATAGCACAATCTCTGTTATTGTGGATCTTACAGTTTAGTGACGTATTCACGATAGGTGTAAGACCTCAGGCAAGTCACTAAACCTCTCTGGGACTTGATTCCTTTATCTCTAATAAGAAAGTATTTGATTGGTGTTTATGATTCATTCTAACTTTAAAAAAATTTAGATATTCTATTCTAGCTTTCACCTAAAATATCTATTTATTTTTACTGTGTGGAACCAGAGCACTGTAGCTATCTAAATCTTTTTTTGTTCTTAACTTAAATTTTAGTCCATAATTGTTTTTTAAGCAACTTTATTGGAGAATAATTCATATGTAATAAATTACATGTATTTAATGCATACAGTTTCATAAGTTTTGATACACATTTGTGAAGCAGTTACCACAGTCAAAATATCCATCACTTCCAGAAGTTTCTTTGTGCCCCCTTTGTAACTCTTTTGCCCCATCTGACACCCAAAAAACCACTGACATGTTTTTTGTCATTATGGATCAGTTTATATCTTTTGGAGTTTTATATAAATGGAATTATACAGGATAAACTCAAATGTAACCATACAGGATATATTCTTTTTTCTGTCTAACTTCTTTCCTTTAGTATAATTATTTTGGGATTCATTCCATTTTATTGTATATATCAACATATAATTTCTTTTTATTGCAAGTAGTATTATATTGTATGAATATACCCCAGTGCTTATTCATTCATCTATCTATTGATAGACATTTGGGTTGGTTTCAGTTTTTGGCTGTTATACATAAGTTACTATAAACATTCATATACAAGTCTACACAGTCTACCTTCAGATAATACTTACCACTTCACATATAATATAAGAATCTTGGCTGGGTGTGGTGGTTCACGCCTGTAATCCCAGCACTTTTAGGAGGCCAAGGTGGGCAGATCACCTGAAGTCAGGAGTTCAAGACCAGCCTGGCCAACATGGTGGAACCCATCTCTACTAAAAATACAAAAATTAGCCAGGTGTGCTGATGCATCCCTGTAATCCCAGCTACTAGGGAGGCTGAGGCAGGAGAATCACTTGAACTTGGAGGCAGAGGCTGCAGTGAGCCAAGATCACGCCACTGCACTTCAGCCTGGGTGACAGAGTGAGAATTCATCTCAATTAAAAAGCGGGCACCTGTAGTCCCAGCTACTCGGGAGGCTGAGGCAGGAGAATGGTGTTAACCTGGGAGGTGGAACTTGCAGTGAGTTGAAATTGTGCCACTGTACTCCAGCCTGCGGGACAGAGCGAGACTCCGTCTCAAAAAAAGAATCTTATATCAGTGTACTTATCTTTTGCCCCACCTGGCCTTTATGTTCTTGTTGTCATATTTTACTGATACCTATTTTATAAAACACAATACAGTGCTATTTTTCTTTAAGCAATTATCTTTTAAAGAGATTTCCACATTTTTTGAAAATTATCTCTTTATCAGTGTAGCTACCTTTTTCTTTAAACAATTATCTTTTAAAGAGATTTCCATATTTTTTGAAAGTTGCATCTATTTATCAGTGTAGCTACCATTTCTGCATTCCTATGTATGTATATATTTTTATCTAATGTCATTTTTCTTTTGTCTAAAGGATTTTCTTTAGTGTTTCTTGTAGCACAGATCTACTGGGGATGAAATATTTCAGCTTTTATATGTCTAAAGTAGTCTTTATTTTTGTCTTTGTTTTTGAAAGATATTTATACTAGGTATAGAATTCTAAACGGACTTTTTTCTTTCAGTACTTTAAAGATGTTGCTTTACTGTCTTCCCATTTGCACTGTTTCTGACAAAAAGCTACTGTCATCTTTTTCTGTATTCCTGTGTATATAATGTGCCTTTTTTCTCTGGCTGCTTTTAAGGCTTTCTATTTATCACTGGTTTCAACAATTTGATTATGATGTGCCTTTGTGTGGTTTTCTTTATGATTCTTATGTTTGGTTTCATTGAGCTTTTTGGATCTGTGACTATACTGTTTTCATCAAATTTGGATATTTTTCAGCCATCATTTTCTAACTAATTTTTCTCTTCCACCCCTCTCTTCTCCTTCAGATATTCCAGTCAAGTGTATATTAAACTGTTTGAAATTGCCCCACAGCTCACTGATGTTCTTTTTCATTGTTAAAAAAATCATTTTTCTCTATTTCATGTTGAGTAGTTGCTATTTCTGTCTTTAAATTCATGAATCTTTTCTTCTGCCATTAATTCCAGCCAGTGAATTTGTCATCTCAAACATTGTAGTATTTTTTTCTATAAACTTGACTAGGACTTTTTTTTTTTTTTTTTCCTTCCATGTCTTTCCTTAGCTTTCTGAACATCTAGAATCCAGTGATGGTAATTTTTAATGTCCATGTCTGCTGATTTCCAGCATCTGTGTCAGTTCTGGGTTGGTTTTGATTGGTTGATGTTTCTCCTCAGTTTTGGTTACATTTTCCTATTTCATTACATATCTGGTAGTCTTTCATTGGATGCTAGACATTGCCAATTTTACCTTGAGCACCACATATTCTTGTGTTACTTTAGGTTTTCTTGCGCTTTGTTCTAGGATGCAGTTAAGTTACTTAGAAACAGTTTGATCCATTTGGACAGGATTGAAACAGTGCTCAGTCTGGGTCTAGTTACTTCCCACTTTTGAGTATTCTACTCAATGCCCCATGAATTCTGAGGTTTTTTGGCCTGACCAGTAGGAACAGGCACCATTCCTGGCTTTGTATAAGCACCAGGCAGTGTTCTCTCTCAGCCTCTCAGATGGTTCTTTCTCTGGCCTCTGGTGGTTTTCCCTCACACGTGAGCTGATCAGCACTCTCCTGAGTGCTCAAGGGACAGATCCCTCTGCAGACCTTTGGAGTTCTGTGTGTAGCTCACTCTTCTTTGGGACTCTTGGCATTGTCTACTCAACTCAAAGACATTGCTGGACCACGCCTGGGTTTCCCCTCCCTGTGCTGTGGCGTAGAGATTCTCTCAAGGCATTAGTTGGAACATTCACAGATCTCGCCTCATTTGTCACCTGTCGCTCAGGGATCACTTTCCTTTGCCTGATGTCCAGTGTCTTATAAACCACTCTTATGTATTTCGTATGTTTGTTGTTGGGGATGGGAAGGTTGTTTCAGGCAGGAGGATAAATCCATCTTAGCCAAAAGCAGAATTATTTAGTCCTTTCAAATTTGTTGTTAATCTAAGGTATTTTAAAGGGAAAGAACCATATGCACTTCTATAGTTTTGAAAAATACACTGTTTGCAGTTGGATTATAAATAAATAGTTCTGACTAAACTCGTTGTATTTCAGAAATGATGTCTGCTTCCTTCTTTTGCTTTTTTTTTTTTTTTTTCCGTTTTTATGCTACTACTCAATGAGCTTATTTTAATTCTTAAAATATTTGTTTCAGCTAGCAGCATCTTGACTGATGCTATAATGGACTGTTACGGGCTTTGAAGTCAGGCAAATCTGATTTACAATGCCGGCTATACCATATTAATTGCTAACATTACTTTGGGCAGGATTCTTTCCTTTTCTTCTCTTTTTCCCCTTTATTCATTTTGTTATTTTTATTGACTTTCTTTCCTATTTCTTACATTCATTTATTCATTCATTTATTCAGTCTTTCAAGAAATCTTTATTGAAAACCACCTACTTGTCACACACTGTAATATGGTAAGAAAACTGCAATGAAGAAAATAGACAAAAATCTCTACCCTTTTACGTTCCAATTTAGGAGACAGAAACACAATAGCTGAATTATGTAGCAGATTAGATAGTGATGAGTGCTATGTAAATAATAAAGCAAGGCTGGTGGGTTGGGAGGCATGGGAGTTGATTGCAACATTAAATAGAGCGGTCAGAGAAGGCCTCACTGGCATTTGAGCACAGACTTGAAAGCACAGTCTTGTCGATATAGTAGAACAGGGATTACCCAGGGAGAGGGAATAATAAATGCAAATCCCTGAGGCAGCAGTGTGCTTGGTGTGTCCAAGGGATAACAGGGAGGCCAGTATGACTCAAGAGGAGCAAGCAAGAGAGAAGAGCAAGGAGGAAGAACAGTAAAGAGGAGGTCAGAGGGTAAATGGGAGGCAGGAGTGGGGCAGATTTGGGGGCTTTGTGTAGGCCTTTAGAAGGATTTTGGCTCTTACCTTCAATAAAATTAGGGAACCATTTTCGGCCAGGTTTCAGCAGAGAAGTGACTGCATCTAATGTAACATTTTAAGAGCATCGCTCTGGCTGCTGTGTTGAGAATGGAAAAGGGTGGAGACAGGGAGACCAGGTAGGAAGCTGTTGGAGCAGTTCCAGTGAGGGATGATGGCAGCCCAGACCAGGGGAGCAGCAGTACAGGCAGTCCTAAGTGGTCAAACTCAGAATATATTTTGAAGTACAATCAGTAGGACTTCTCGACAGATGGAGACTACCTAAGTAGTAGGTATAATTGTGGAAGAGGCCAAGGTCTGATCCCTGAGCATTTAAACAATAAAAGATTTGGAAAAGAGGAGAAATTGGAGAAGAGACAGAGGAGGAAGAAAACTAAGAAATGTGATGTCCTAGAAACCAAGTGAACAAAGCATTCTCAGAAGGATCAAGTGAATATCTGTGACAAACGATGCCGATAGATCGAGAATGATGAGGAATGACAGTTA